TGCCCAGGCTGGAGTGCAGTGGTGCCCTAACAGCTCACAGTAGCCCTAACCTCCTAGGTTCAAGTGATTCTGATGCCTTGACCTCCCAAAGTGCTGGGACTACAGGCGTGAGCCACAATGCTTGCCTGGGCCTCTTTTTCTCTCCTCCAGACACGTAAGGTCCGCCTGGGCCTGCTCTCCCCTTCCTCATAGGAATTCCTCAGGAATAAGGTAACTGAGATTACACACAGCAGTGTGGGCAGGATGTTCTCAAATGATTTCTTTCTAGCAATGAAAGGCCAGAGCCTTCCAGACTGTTGAATGTGACAGACAATCTGTTTTCATTTCTAAATGTCCTCTAAGAAGAACAAATCTGTTATACTCTGGCCAACATATTTCCATGGAAATAAAATAATGAAATCTGACCCAAACGTCAAACCCTGATATGTCTTGGAATTTAACAAAGGATGGAGCAGATGCAGTGGAGGGAAGAACACGCAGGAAGCTTTCTTCCGGCAGCTCACCCCAGAAGCTGCCTTCCCGCATTTCATGGAGATGGTAGACACCAGTGCTCTCCATGTGCACGGGGTTCACACCGGAAAAATCATCCAGGCCAGAAAGAGGCCGCTCACAGCCGGCATGCAACATTCCCCATCCACTGGCCTTCAAACCTGCTGAAGCGGACATTTCAGAAAGGAAATAGAGCAGAGCCAAATTCCCCAGCCATGTGAAAACGCAGAGGGAGAGGCTCCAGCCCTAGAGGACCCTAACCCTGGCTGCTGTCTGGCTCCTGCTGCTGGCCTGCCACCGCATGACTCTCAGCTTCTGGACCGGGCTTCCTCAGGCTGCAGGCTGCTCCCCAGACTGGGCTGACCCCCTTCCCAGCAAAGCCCAGGAAGTTCCAGCAAGTTCTCGTTGTCTGCCTAGTAGACCTGAGTTTGAGTCACGTTTGAGGGTTCCTTGTGCGCGGGGAATGGGACGGCGGGGCGGGGGCGTTCTAATGTCTGTGCTTTCAAGTAGGAAAGATAATAATGAAATAGTTAACATTTAGCCTGTAGTCCCAGCTACTCAGGAGGCTGAGGTTTGAGGAGCACTTGGGCCCAGGAGTTCAAGCTGCAGTGAGCTTTGATCATGCCACTGCCCAGTAGCCCTGGTGACAAAGAGAGATCCTGTCTCTAATAAAAAAAAAAAAAGAAAAGAAAGAGCTAACATTCACAGATAACTTACTAGGCATCAGGCACTTCATGTACATTGAAAACATTTAATTCACTTGAGACAGGTACTCTTACCAGCATTTTACTAATGAGGAAACTGAGGCTGATTTCTCCTTTAACAACAAACAGGCTGGGTGTAGTGGCTCATGCCCGTAATCCCAGCATTTTGGGAGACTGAGGTGGGAGCACTGTGTGAGGCTGGGAGTTTGAGACCAGCCTGGGCAACATAGTGAGACCCCCATCGCTACAAAAATATTAAAAAATTAGCCAGGTGTGGTGGCACATGCCAGTGGTACCAGCTATTCAGGAGGCCGCGGTGCGAGGTTCTCTTGAGCCTAGGAGTTTAAGGCTGCAGTGAACCATGATTGCACCACCGCACTCCAGCCTGGGCAACAGGGCAAGACTCTGTCTCAAAAAAACCAAAAGCAAAATCTTCGCAGGTAAACACTGGAGTGAGTGTGGCTCTTTGAGCTCGGAATGCCTTCTATTATTATCATCTGGTAAGGCCTGGTAAGAATACATTCCTTCTTGGAATGTGTCTTCTGTGGAAATGAGACACAAAAGGATGGAGATGTCAGCTTCCAAGAGCGCTGAGGGCCGAATTCTGAAAGCAAATGTCACAGCATTCATGATGCTCAGACAGACCAGCAGCCGAGGTGGCAGCGGCTCCCTCCCTCCTCTTCCTTTCCCCGCAGGCCTGAGAGTTGGGATGCGCACCCTCCCCCGAGAGGCTTTCTCAGTGGCTGCAGCCTGGGAGAGTGCTGTGGTTTGGGCTGTTTTAGTCTCCAAGGGGATGGGTGATTTATGTCCTTTTATTCAGCAAACAGCTTTGTACAGAACGAATGCCACTTGCTAAATGTCACCAGGCGGGGACAGGGGAGCCGCACAGAATCCCAATGAAGCCTTCCAGGCCTGGGCAAAATGGCACCTGGTGACTTGGTTAGTGTGTGCGTTTTCTCTGGTGGGAGTGAGGAAGAGACAGTGATTCTGAAATCCAGACTGGCTGGCCAGAGTGGCAGGGAAATGCAGAGACTCCAGCGCCCACCTCCGCTGCCAGCGCCTGCCACTTCCTGCTTCTCCATCTTCTCCCTGCCCTTTGCAGGACAGAAGCGAGGCGGTCGGTGACCTATGGACTTTGGGGAAGGGCTCCTTTCTGTGGCACTGAGTCAGCATGCCAGGGCCTCTGGGCCCAGGCCTGCATGGCTACACAGTCAAGCATGAGGGATTGCGGCTTTCATCAGGGCACATCGGGGCTCAGCTCTGCACTCAACCCGGCCCAAGCCAGGGTTCTGGCTGGAGGCCCCTTGGTCTTCTCACTCTCTTTTCATGCTCCTCCTCCTCACCTCTCCCCATCCACACCTAGGTCTGTAAGTTCCCTGAGACTGTGAGCCATGCTTCTTCACACACACACACACACACGGGTGCCCAGTGTGGCCCCATTCTCAACACACAATAAATAAGTGCTTGATGTTTGTTGAATAATAAACGGCCAACTCATTCCCCCATGAGCCCTGGCACCCCAGCACTGCCCTGGGGCCTGCGGGCTGCATTGGCAGGATGGCAAAGCATGCCCCGGTGTTTAAGGCAGTGCTACCAAGGCACTGAGAGATGAGAAAGGTGGTAGAGTCTCAGGACTTGGAGAAACCTTTGCAATCACATTGTCCAACCCTCTCATTTTACAGATGAGGACACCGAGGCCCAGAGAGGTGACCTGTCAAAGCCACACAGCACAGAGGAGCAGAGCCTGGGTCCAGCTATTCCTCTGATCTCACCACCCTGCCTCTTCTCACTGGAAGAGTGTACCAAGGCGGGAGTCTGGCCCCTACCCACCCCGAGGCTGATCCCTGCCTAAGGGGGTTAGCCCAGCCCCCAGCCGGGCTCCTCTCCTCAGCACAGGCTGCAGCCACTGCTCCCGGCCTCCAGTCCACAGCCCATACACCCAGCCTTCCAGGGAGGAGGGCAATTAGTTTTCACTGTGCCACTCAGCACCACCTGGGCTGCAGGAAAACACTGCGTTCCCCGCACTCCAGATCAATGTGGGCCTCGCAGGTTAGAATTTAGGGCGCAGACCACATGGAGACTGGGAAAGACAGAAGGAAATGGACAACAGTCAGGGCCTGTGGGTGAAGCAGAGTCACTCCTGCCCCCAGAGCAGAGACACACAGGAGGGGTTCCTGGGGCGACGGGGCCAGCACCTCACCCTGGCTTGGGGAGGAAGGGACTGGGACAACAGCGCATGAAAGCCAGAGAGCTGAGCCGACTAGGGGACACAGAAAAGGAAGGGTGTAGGTGTATCCTGGATCCCAGTATCACCTCCATGGGCCCCCACAGCAGTGCTGGGAAGGGGAAGGGAAGCCTGAGGGAGAAGAGAAAGGAGGTGAGAGGGAGACACTGCCTAGCATTGGCTCTCTCTCCTCTTTGAGGCCCGCAGAGGGTCTCCACCAGCAGCTCCAGGAGGGATGATAAATTGTCAAAAGCCACCAAGAGTCGGGGCAGGAGCTCAGTTCTGCCCAACTGAGGGCCGTGCAGGGATTTCAAGGTCCCTGAGCGGATCCCAGCCCTCACTCATTGAACTCAGTCAGATCACCACCACATCAGTGGATTTAGAAACATGACAGGGATTTCAGAGGGCAATGGGTCCAGCCCTTACAACCCAGCACCTCTCTGCAGGCAAGGAAACGCAGGCCCAGAGGACAGGGGCTTCTCCACGTGGGCACACGGCACCAAGGCAGCTCCATCAATAGAAGCTAAATCTCCGAACTCCCACTCCAGGGGTGCTGACCGCTGGGTGGGTGACTCCCTCAGCGTCCAAACCCTCTCTGGCAGGCCCTTGCTGCTCCAGGGGCCAGTATGAAAGGGAGAGCTCCTCCCAGGGCCTCCAGGGAGACACTTCTGCTGACCGTCCCCAAGGAGAAAGAGGAGAGATAAATGGGGGAGGGTCCCTGAAGAATGGTGACCTTCAAGAAGGAGGCCAACCTAGGGGACTAGTGGAAGCCAGAAAGAGCAGGGGGCCATGGCAGGGGCTGGAGCCGATGTCCTAGGGAAGGAGTAGCTGCAAGGCCCTGCCCCTCAGCCTCAGAGGAGCGCCAGCCCTGCCCTGCCATTCTGGACAAGGTGTGAGTGTGAAGAGACTCTTGCCTGTCCACACTATCAAGGCTGAGCGGGGGCAAAGGCAGCCCCCTTGGGGTCCCCACCCTGCGACTGGACTTTAAAACCATTTTCTTTGGTTTTAAACAAACAGTTTTTCTTTGGTCATGATTTTGTTGGTTGACTTATCTTTATGGAATTGTAGTATTTTCTTGCTCTAAAACCCTCAGTCTAACCCCTTCTTCTTTCTGCCTCACATTTTTGCCTCCAGCGATATGAAAATGAACCTTGGAGAATGGGTGGGTCCTGGGGGAGGGGGGCCGAGGGGCTCTTCACCAGGCAGAGATGAACCCCGAGGGGCTCTTCACCAGGCAGAGATGAACCCCAGTGCTGACACGGGCCCCTTCCTTTTCCTGGTTTCTCCTGCCCTGGAGGGTGGCACACAGAAAGGGCTCTTTGTCTCTTTGGACCATTTCTGTATCCCTGGTGCCTCGAATGGAGCCGGGCCTGGAGCGAACTCCATCAATGACTCTGACGGCAGACAGGGCTCCGGCCCACTGGGGTGATGGGCTAAAGAGGGGATTCTGGTTCCTGTGGACAATCTGGAAGCTGGAAGCTGTTAGAACTGGAGCGAGGATTTCACCAGGGAGCTCACGGAGAAAGCCCGGGCAGGTGGGGTGTGGGAAGGAGTCGGGGGAGCCCGGAGCGCGGGATACTCACTCCAGCACGTCGCGGTTGAACTGCTTCTTGCTGTTGCCCAGGAACTCTCCAATCATCTGGCGGCTGAGGCCCTTTCGCTGGAGGAGGAAATGGGCCACACCAATGGGGGTATCAGGGATGAAGCCGCGGGAGATCAGAAACTGGATGCCCTTGTCCGGGTTTCTGGAGGTGGGGAGAGCGGGGAGAAGCAGTAGAGAGTGAGTGAAGCCACCCATGACTCTTTCCTCCCTGTCTTCCACCCATGGAAGTGCCCAGAGGTTCCTTGGAAATCCAGTTTCCCATTGGAAGCACCTCTCACCACAGCTTCCACCCACTGAATGTCCTCACACAGAGGATGGTGTGTGACCAGGAGGAGGACAGGGGAGGTCTGCAAACAAAGTGAATTCCAGAGCAGGTGGAGGAGAAGGACCCTGTCCCTGCCTCCTGGGTCTTACCCCAGGCCTGCCCTTCCCCCTACCCATATCCTGTTGTCAATATGCAGGTCCCCACCGCAGATGCCCCAACCTGGAGAGAGGGTGGGAGAAACAGAGGTGGGACCTCTGCCACACCCCCTCTTTCCTTTGCAAGCTTTGAAGCCATGCTCCTCCCTGAGCTGTTTCTCACAGGTCCAGGAGGAGGTAAGTGCGGAAACACAAGGTAAGCACTCAGAACCTTCCATAGCATTTCAACATTTCCGGGACAAGCAGGCATGTGGCTGTTTTTCTAGCAACTCATTTTTATTGTATTTTACAAAAGTATTAGCCCACAATGTATTTTCAGAAGGGTGTGGGGGAACAAAACTGGTCCTTCGCTATGGATAGTTTAAGAGTTACTGCCTTGGGGGAGACGAGTATCTGTGTGAGTTTTCATGTGCGTGAAGAAGTGACACTGTGGAAGTGGGGGTGGTTTAGCATCAGATCCGCCTTCCCCTAGGTCTGCCGAGTACTAGCTCTTTCATCGTGGGCAACTCGCCGTACTGGTGTGAGCCGGCTTCCTTTTCTGTAAAACAGCATGGTGGCACCTCTGTGTAGATACTGCTGGGAGGATTACAGATGCTTTATGTAAGGTGAGCTATGAACAGTGGCTACTTCCTCTAGAATAGAGACCTCTTGAGGCCAGCGAATGTGTCCTATTCCCCTCTGTGGTCACAGTGCCTGGCACCCGATAAATAACAGCCAAATGAATGGATGAACATGCATTAGGGCCAGAGAGAGACGCTTTTGGCTTGGGGTTATGAAGGGGCGAGTGGAGGATGGAGGCGAGTGCCTCATGGACTTGACTTTCCATGGGAGGGGCAGGTGTGCTTCCTTTCCTCTGCTTGGGACTGGCTGTATACATTCCGTGCGGGACCAGTCCGGGTCTCACTGGGGTCTCTGAGCTATGGCAGTCGGTCATTTCTCCCCTGTTCTCTTTCTACTCTGCCTCTGCCTGCTTCACACTCTCTCTTCCTGGTAGCCCTCCCCTCTCCTGCTCTCTGCCGCAATCCTTACACGGCGCCTCCCCCACCCAGCCCCGCATTTCATCAACGCTGGGAGCTAATGCGTTTTCCCTGGCTTCATATTCCACCCGAATGATTGCTGCTTAATCCTCAAGCCGCCTGGACTGTTATTTACTTAATACTGTCTTTTCTTTTACATTCTCTTACTTTTCAAACCCTAGCTTCATCTTAAACTGTAACAGTTGTGAAAGCATGTGTTCGATGTGTTATTTTTTTCCTTTAATCTCTCTTAAAATAAACTCAGAATGATTAAAAACAAAATGCGTACTTCCTAAACATGACCCCAGGGATCAGGCAAGGCACAGATGCGCCTGGAGGGCCCTGGGATGACGTGGGCAGTCACCTGGTGCCCTGCCTGGTGGAGGGGAAGTGTCCCTCCTCCTTCCCTCCCTCCCAGCACTCCGGGCTGCGGGCCAGGGCTGACTTACATGTTGAACAGGTTGAGGCCGATGCGGTAGAGTCGCTTGCGCAGGGTGTCGGTGGAGAGCGTGGGCGACTTGCAGCTGGCGGGGTTCTCGCAGTGGTAGCGCGGCAGGCTCAGGATCATGGCCTGCAGGGCGTCCTTGGAGGCGGAGGCCGACACCTCCGAGCCTGACTTGGCGGACTTGGTGGACGTGCTGCTGCTGCTCAGCTGCTCCAAGTCGCCTGCCTCAGCCTCGGCCCCTTTCCCCACGTCTGCTGCCTCCTCCTCCTCCTCCTCCTCCTCTGCTTTGGCTGCTGTGGCTTCATCCACCGCTCCCCCAGCCCCAGCCTCTGTGCCTGAGTCCTCCGCGGACGCGTCCCCCCGGCCCACTGCGGGGGCTTCCGCGGCCTCCTGCCCGGGGGTCCCGCCCTGCTCGGCCTTGCCCGCCGCGGGCTCCGCTGTGGCCTGGGCCGTCTGAGCGCCCAGGCAGTTGGCTACGGACAGAGCCGTGGCGGAGGACACGGATATGTTCTGGCTGGCGATCTGCACCGTGACGTCCCGGAAAGCCATCATGAGGGTGCCGCTGTGGCCCGGGGGCAGGCCGGGGGTCTCCGCGGCCTCATCCCCCGGCCCGGGGCCTGCGCTCTCCGGCTCCCGCATCTCGCCCTCCAGGCCTGGGGGCCCCGCGGCCGCCTGCAGGGCCCGGTGGAGCTGGTAAGCGCCGGTCTCCTGCAGGGAGCACATGGTCTTGAGGCTCCAAGTGCTGAGCGCGTCGTCGATGGACTTGGCCAGGGACTGCACCTGCTCGGTGAAGGAGTCCTCCAGCTCGGTGAGGGTGCCCGCGAAGGTGGGCGGCAGGGAGGGCGCGCGCACCAGCGGCAGCCCCATGAGGCCGTAGCCCTCCATGAGCGCTTTCTCGGCCGCCAGGCTCTCGGCCGTGGGTGCCCGCACCTTGCGCAGGGAGATCCGCCGTGGCAGGCGGCTCTCCAGAAGCGAGTTGCGGATTTTCTCAAAGTTCTTGCTGAGCTGGTATTGGCGGAAGGCGGTTTGGATGGTGCAAGCGGCGCGCCGGGACACCAGGTGACCCCCGTACTTGTGTTCTAGCATTTCAATCTGCAAGGACGAGACAGAGAGGAGGAAGGACTCAGAGGGAAAGGTGGTCAACCCCTCTGAGGAGTGGTGGAGTCACACGGACAAACTTGGGTGGGGCCCAGGAATGGGCAGTGGGGGGCTCCTGGGCAGCTCAAGTCTGAACCGCCTAGCATGTCACGGCCACATGGCAAGACTCCTAGAGGTGTAGGATGGAGGGGTCCGTTCTGGGGACTGGTAATGTCCTAAGGGCCAGGAGGGAGGTGCTGTGTATCGTGGACAGATTTTGATGCTGTGGCGGGTATTACAAAATGCTCATGGACGGGCACAGTAGCTCAGGCCTGCAGTCCCAGCATTTTGGGAGGCTAAGGAGAGAAGATTGTTTGAGCTTAGGAGTTTGAGACCAGGCTGGGCAACACAGCTAGACCTTGTCTCTCTCTAAAACAAACAAACAAACAAACATAAAATAAAATTAACTGGGTGTCCTGGTGCATGCCTGTGGTCTTCAGCTACTGGGAAGGCTGAGGTAGGAGGATTGCTTGAGCCCAAGGAGTTGGAGGTTACAGTGAGCTATGACTGTACCACAGCACTCCAGCCTGGGCAAAAAAGTGAGACTTTGTGTCTGTTTTTTTTTTAGTTCATGTTGGAGACGCACACAGAAGTATTTATGGGTAAAATGCGTGACACCTTGAATATGTGTTAAAATATTCTGTCAAAAAATGTGGAAGAGTTAGATGACACAATATTAACATTAATAAATATTAATAAAATGGTTACAGCTGGATGATAGCTGGGGGGAGTTCATAACACTGTTGTTTCTACTTTTGTGCACACTTTAAAAATAATAAACAACGAAAAACAGAAATGCTAAAAACACTCACAGTTCCTCGTGTTTCCCCACTCTTCCCCAGCAGCCACGTCTCTGTGTTGTTTTTTTTTCCCTGGGAACATCAGAAGGGTTGGGATCTGGGTTGGACCATCCGTGTGTTCCCAGGACATAGTCAGCTGCTCAGTAAATGTGGCTTTGCTAAAAAGTTGAGTCGGTGTCTCAAGAAGGGGGGTCCCTCCAGGCCACCATTACCAAGAGTTCCCCAATTTGAGTCACCTCTGTTCTTATGGTGGGAGCTGTCCAACCAGGCAGGGCCGGGTGGGGCGGGCTCGGGGGCATGGCACCTCCCCTGGGCAGATCTGATCCCAGGAAAACTTCTTTTTTTTTTTTTTTTTTTTGAGACGGAGTCTTGCTCTGTCGCCCAAGCTGGAGTGCAGTGGCGCGATCCTGGCTCACTGCAAGCTCCGCCTCCTGGGTTCATGCCATTCTCCTGCCCCAGCCTCCCGAGTATCTGGGACTACAGGCACCCGCCACTGCGCCCGGCTCATTTTTTGTATTTTTAGTAGAGACGGGGTTTCACCGTGGTCTCGATCTCCTGACCTTGTGATCCGCCCGCCTCGGCCTCCCAAAGTGCTGGGATTACAGGCGTGAGCCACCGCGCCCGGCTGATCCCAGGAAAACTTCTGTCAGGGCGCCAGTGTGCCTCCTCTCGGCTCTGTCCTCCTGTCCATGGGCTTTCTCCTCTCAGGTTGCTACGCTCTCACTTTTCCTCCCTATTGAAACTTCTCAGGAAAGGACAGGGAAGGTATGACTGAGCCACGCCCCCAGAGGCTTCTGCCTGTCAGTAAGGGACAAGGCCTGTGAGAAGGTGATGGGCTTAAATGGTGGCATCCTAGACTCTGATCAGCCGTCAGAGAAGTTTGGGAAGTGAGCGTGTTCCCGGTCCCTGAAATTATGTCCTATTCACAACCAGACATGCCAGGTACACATGGCGTCCTTCCCGAACGAAGAATCGGGATGGGTGCGCTGAGATGAACGACTGAAGGCAAGAACAACGACGTCACTCCCATGTTCTCCAGGGATCGTGGGTCGGGAGGGGTACAGATAGAAAGCCCGCACTTCAACCCTCAGCACAATACTTCACCTGCTTCCTGCTCCCCTGGAGCCCCCAAAGGCTGCAGCCAGAATGAATGCCTGCCTCCCACAGCCCAGCCATGCCCTCTGCTCCCTTCCTGCAGGGCGTGATGGGTGCCCCACTACCAGGCTAGCAGCGGTACCCACTTAGCTCAAGAGACCTTGAGGATACAACCCCAATCCACAAAGGCAATCCCAGGTAAAATGGGGCATCCTCAGCATCCTCAGGGCTTGTCTTCAGTGCTTCCAGCCTGGCCATTCAGTGCCTTCCCCATTCCCAAACCTGGGGACATCATTCCGTCTCCCCCAGCATCCAACTCTACCCTCGGGGACAGTTGGAACTCATGCAGATTCAGGTGTAAATTGCGACTAAGGCTTCCTATATGGCTTCTCTCAAAGCTACTTGCATTCCATAAGGGACAAGGCCCTGAGCAGGAGGAAGCTCCCAGTGCTATCACAATCCCCCTATTGGAGGGGTCTTCAAGGTGCTCTAAACCACACCAAGGGTATTCCTCATCTACTGCTGTGCAGCACATTACCACACATCCAGCCACTTGAAGCAGCGCCTGTTTATTTCTCATGTCGCTCTGTGAATCTAGTCTGGGCACGGCTCATCTGGGTTATCTGCTCAGGATCTCACCAGGCTGAAACCAAGATAGCACTCAGGGCTGCAATATCATCTAAGGTGTGGGGTCCTCCTTTGAGCTCACTCTTGTTGGCACAGTTCAGCTCCCGTAATCACAGGACTTAGGCCCTCAGTCACCAGAGGTTGCCTGCTGTCCCCTGGCACGTGGCCTTTTTCATCACCGGATAGCTCAGTCCTTCAAGGCCAACAGGACAGTGTCTGTCTGGGGCCTCAGCTTCATTTATAGGGCGGACCTGACTAGCTCAGACCCACCCTGGATGACGTTTCTTTTTATTAACTCAAAAGCAACCAAATGGCAACCTAATCATCAGAGTGATGTCCCATCACATTCGCTCATCCTGCCCATACTCAACGGAAGGGGATTATAGAGGATGTGTACACTGGTGTGAAGGGGACTTGAGGGCCATCTTAGAATTCTGCCCACGGTATGAACTGGACAGCTGCCCACTTGATCTTTACCAGGTATGACCTCAGGTGCCCATAACAGACACAGACACTTGCCTCTGAGGCATTCTGTTCCTGCCCCTGCAGAAATACTGTAGCCTGGCTCACTCTCCCTGCTGAATTTGGACACATTTCCTGAGGCCTGGAATAGGGACTTGGCTTTGGCTCAGGCAGGAAAGTCCTCCCCCAGGGGAAATGTAGAGAGGAAGGGGACTGAGCACTAAACTGGCTCCTTTTCTCTCAATCTCTGTCAACCTTACTCAAGCACCACGAGAAACCGACAGATTTCCCATTTCTTTTTTTTTTTTGAGATGGAGTCCCGCTCTGTCACCCAGGCTAGAGTGCAGTGGCACAATCTCAGCTCACCATAACCTCCGCCTCCTGGGTTCAAGCGATTCTCCTGCCTCAGCCTCCAGAGTAGCTGAGATTACAGGTGTGCGCCACTGTGCCTGGCTAACTTTTGTATTTTTTTTTTTAGTAGACACGGGGTTCTGCCATGCTGGCCAGGCTGGTCTTGAACTCCTGGCGCCTGGGTGATCCGCCCGCCTCGGCCTCCCAAAGTGCTGGGATTACAGGTGTGAGCCGCTGCACCCGGCCAGATTTCACATTTCTTTCTCATCTGGCCTATTTGTACTTCTAGGGAAACCCCAGGCCCAAGAACATTCTTCTGCAGCACGAGATGCTATTGGCAACACAGGGAAGGTATGAAATCCATTGCTCGAGATGCTCCCAAAACGGTGATGGGGTCCGGGCCCTTGGCATGGTGTCATCCTGCTTGAAGGCAGAAGACTAGCTGATATAACCCTAGGAGACTCCGTCTACTACTGGGCGATGTCTATACTTCACCCAAGCAGGAAAGAAAACCAGATTTTACATTCTTGAATCTGTCCCATCACATCCTCCACTAGACATCAAACCCCACGAGGGCAGATTTTGCCCTCCATGGTCACTGCTGTCTCCTCCAACGCTTGGACAGTGCCCAGCACATAGTAGGTCTTCAATGAGTATGTATTGGACAAATTAATTCCAAAGTTATATTTGTGACTCTCAAAAACCTTCCTAATCTGACCCACAGCAGATGCTCTCCCCCTCCCGCCTCCTTTGTGTGTTCAGCTCACCCCACAGGTGCTCTTTTTACTCCTATTTCCTTCCTTCTATCTGCAGCTTTGCACCTGGCCACAGATCTTTCCAGATCTCCCCAGGCTACAACGTAACTCTGCTGACTCCACTGCCTCTGGGGCACTAGCCTATTCCCTTTATTCCTATTTTCCACTGAACCTCTAGGAGCACTAGCCTCTGCCTCACTCCAGGAGCAAATGCCAGATACTGACCCAACCCTGCCCTGAGCCTTGTGCTCTGGCTCCTGCTGCCTCCCGTCTCAGTCAAGGGCGAAAGATGTTAAACTCATCCAAGGCCCATCAGCAGGGAAGAGGCAGATCTGGGGCTTGTCACTCAGCCCAAGGGCCTCCTCAGCCTCCCTCCCCGCTCCTTACTGCAGCTCTCCCCAGTGCTTATTACTCAGCCTATCCTGGTTGTCCTGTCTCCCTACAACCCCTTAATCCTGTATTCTGGCCACAGAACCCCTACGTGCGCTGGTTACGAGTCACATGGGTGCCGCTGCCAGTCTCCACACACGTTTTAACTTTCCTCGTACACTCTGGACATTCTCCATAGCTTCTGTGTTGGACATCATCAGAGGAGCCCGTGACAGGTGATAATTAACAATGAATTAAGAGGAGAGCTGTGTCAGGCAGAGCCTTCCGGGTCACTCTAAACAGGCTCCCCAGGTTGACACCTTCTCAGCCCCGTCTGCCTTCCCTCTGAGGACCCAGTGCATTCTCTTAACTTCACTCTACTTTGACGGGCCGGTGAGCCAAGTGGCAAATAAGGGGAATGGCCAGCCCCAGATCCCTGCTGATTGGCCTTGGATGAATTTAACATCTTTGACTTTCAGTTTTCACATCTATTAAGTAGGGCTTATCTTGCTGACCCTGTATCTTCTCGTGAGGATGAAATTATTTCATGTAGCACCCAGCACAGAGCAGCAGCTTACTAAGTGGTAACTGCTTCATGGTGACAGTGATAATGATGGGAACGACTCTCAAGTCTCCATTCCTAGCCTTGATCCTAGACTCACATTTCCAACAGCTTGTGGATCCTCTGTCCATCTAGACTGTTTTCCCTACCTCACCCAAACCAGCTCTTGTTGACTTCCTTATTGGCCTGACCAGCACCCAGCCTGGGAAACTCGCCTTGTCCTGGGGTTTTTGTTTGTCCTGTCCACTGTGTCTGTCAGCCGACTGTAGCTCCTGGGCCCCCACCCCTAGACCTTTTGCAATCACCCATCTTCCTTCCAGAATGTCACCACATAGGGCTCTCTGTCTTCCCACCTGGACGACGTCCGCAGCATCCTTACTACCTCTGTGTTCTTCTTACTCCCACCATCACCTCACACTGCAGAACCAGACCCAAGCTCTCAGACAGCAGCAACCTGGCTTCTCTTTGTTTGACAACCATTGCCCCAAACAGATACAAACGCTTCTTCCTGGTTTTCCAGCCCTAACAATCTGGCAGGGCCACAAAGTCCACATTGCTCAGCAGCTCCTGCCTGCTCTCCCCGGCTGCCCCCACGAGTCTTGGGCACTCATCTGCGTTCTCTCCCAGCCTGCAATGCTCTCCCCAACCTCAACTCCCAGCCTCCCCTTTCGTCCAGGTAGAAATGTCCTCTTTTTCGAGACCTATCTCAAATGTGCCTCCTCCGTGCAGCCCTCTCAATGCCCCGAACAGACGGGGTCTCCCTGCCTCGGGCCTCAACTTCTCTTTGGCACTCAGTCTTTGGCACTAATCTTTGTGGCATTTCTCCAACCCATCCTTCCCTCCCTTTCCCTCCCCCAGGCTCCAACAGAGCATAAGTTATTCACGGCATCAAATATGTCTTAGTCATCCTGTCCAGCACCCAGCACCTTAACCGGCATGGAGCAACTGCTCCCTGAGTAACACTGGAATTCAGTTCTGGGCTCACCATCATGTGTCCTAACCCATTTAACAACCAACCCCCACTGATCCCAGACTTGGGCCTGCTACACCCACAACCTGCACTGTCCCTACACCTTCCTCCCCACCCTCAATGCTCAGTGCCACCCCCCGCTCAGAGCTCTCACCTCGGACTGTCCATCCCAACCTGCACTGTCCCTACACCTTCCTCCCCACCCTCAATGCTCAGTGCCACCCCCTGCTCAGAGCTCTCACCGCGGACTGTCCATCACAGGCAAGACAGCTGTCTCTGCATCCCTTGTGCCCAGTGCTGTGCCAGGCCTGTGGTTGAGGCTGTTTGCAGACAAGAACTAAACTGAATTCTCTCCTGTGACCCCAGGGAAATCAAAATCCGGACTCTTGTTCAGGCCTGGGCTTGGAACCCAGGACTCCCTCCTTCCTCCCACCCCCAGCATCCTGGCAGGACCTGGGGACTCATTAATGGCCTAGGTCAGCTCCATTCACGACAGCCAGGCCCTCCCATCTACCCCAGTCCCATTCTGAACCAGGGCCAGGTCAGAGAGCAGAGAGAGGTGTGGCAGGGAGGCAGCCCCAGGGAAGGAGGGGTCTCTGAGCCCGCTGGCCAGGGAGCAGCTCTGCCCACTTCCCTCTAAACCCCAGAAATCAGGAGGAATGATGGCCTCGCCTCCTCCCGAGAGAGCAATTTCTCAGCTTCTGCCAGAAGCAGCAGCGGCAGGGGCCGCGGGGGCCTCCGTCTCTCTAATGAGCCTCTCAGTGTTAATTAGAACATGCTCCCTTTTTTCAGGTTGCTGCGGCAGCTGAGCCTGAAGAGGCCGCTGAAAGATGGCGGCCAAGCCAGAGCGTGGGGAGGAAGAGCCGCTAGCTGGGGGGCACAGTGCTGAGGAGCACGGGCCAGGTGTGGGGGGCTCCAAATGTGGGCGAGGGTTTGCTCCCATCCAAGACTCCCCAGCTGAGACCATGAAAGCACAGCCTGTTGTAAGCCTCCAGAACTTGGCCAGGCGAGCCCGGGTGTGAGGCTGAGGAGCAGAGAGCTTGGAGCGGCCGGCGCTTTGGGGGTGTTCAGAGAGGCCCACAGGAGCCTCGGGTCTGTGCTGGGCAGGGCTGTGGCCTCCTGCAAGGCAGGGGACTCACGCCCGCTCTGTGTGCCCTCCTCCCCGCCTGCTGTCTGGAATACAGCAAGTGCTTGACACGCAGGGCATCGAGGCCTGCCTGGGAGTGGGCAGCCAGGTGGGCATGGGGGACGCGCTATGGCTCAGCTAGCAGTGACGTCACGAGACTCTCCAGTGGAGCTGCCCCAGGAGCTGGCTCTGAACCCAGGCTGGGCTGCCTGCCCTCCTCATGCTCCACAGACCCTGTGTGCCACTTCCACGGGGCCTGTTCCTCACTGTGATGCCAAGAGATGGTGGACGGTACTGGGTCAAAACCATGGGCTGTGGAGTCCGTGTCGTGGCTGCATTACTTCCTAGGGCTGTGTCCTTGGGCAAGTTACTTAACATCACTCAGCCTTAATCTTCCCATTCCAGAAATGGGACAGTAATGGTGCCAACCTCACGGGGACACTGTGCAGACCTGGGGAGGTAACACATGGCAACTGTTAGCCTGGGCCTGACACAGAGCTACAGCTCACCTGACACAGAGCTATAGCTCAGGCAGTACCACTGGTGCTGGGCCTGTATCTGCCCGCCACCAGCCTGTGTCTGCCCGCCACCGGGTCTGCGTCCGCCCTCCACTGGCCTGCGTCCGCCCACCACTGGCCTGCGTCCACCCACCACTGGGGCTGCGTCCGCCCACCACCGGCCTGCGTCCGCCCGCCACTGGGCCTGCGTCCGCCCGCCCCTGGCCTGCGTCCGCCCACCACCGGCCTCTGTGTCCACCCATCACCGGCCTCTGTGTCCGCCCATCACCGGGCCTGCGTCCGCCCGTCCGCCACCGGGGCTGTATCCACCCACCACCGGCCTGTGTCCGCCCACCACTGGGCTGTGGGCGCCCTGATGACTAGGCCTGTATCTTTTGCATCGTAGTGTCTTCGGGCCTAGCACAGGGCCTGGGACGGAGCGGCTGTGCAGTGCAGTTCCCCAAACTGAATGAACTGGGGAGAGGAACAACCCCTGGAGTGCCCCGTCCTCACCACTGTCCTCTGTAGGCCGGTGCCCCGGTGCCCTCTGTGCCCATGGTAGAAATCTCACCTTCAGCGTGGGAAGGGGCCAGGAGGCACTCTGGTACAACCCGTGGTTCACACATGAGGAAACCAAGGTGCAAAGAGGGAAAGTGACTCAGAAACAGCCACCACATCTTCTGCAGAGGTGCCCCACAGTGAGGCTGGACCCTGAGGCTTGGGGTTTGGGGATCTGTGGGGAGGGGCTGCTCTCCAGCAGAACATGGCTTCCGTCCAGGACCTGGCTCGGGGAGCAGGGTCCAGATGCTACTGACCACAGCTCCACAGCCTCCGGCGTGGACAGCCCAGGGGGCTCCGCCATTCAGACGGCCAAGCAGGGTTCCAGTCACTCCGCAACAGGATACAAACTCCCTCGAGGGCTTGGAGGAACTTCAAAATCACACCTAGGCCCTCTATGTCCTGGGCGCAGCCACCTTCCTAAAGGGCTCCCCAAAGGAACCTGCATGCTCACCCTTGGCCCGCCCTGGGTTGTATCGCCCAGGACTGCTGGCGTGGGGTGAGAGGGTCGAAGGCAGAGGGAGCAGAGGAGAAGAGCTGGCAGGAGGACCGTCTTGCTGTGTGACTTGTGACAGGTGCTGGGGAAGGGGCCAGGAAGCTGGAGCGCAGGCCTCGTTCGGTCATTCACTTGCTTGTGCCTTCATTCCTATGTTCCTTCCCTGGTGAGCATTTCCTAGGTGCCCAAGACTGTGCAAGGTGCAGGGCAGCAAAGGTGGGCAAGGACAGGGCAGTTCCCAGGGCACAGCTCCAGGAGCACCGGCTCTTCCTGTGGGCTATGCAGCACCCTGGAGGTGTCCCGGGCACCACCTGCTCAACTCCACACAGCCCTGAGAACATGGTCCACGCTGTTAAGCAGAACAGCTCCCACTCCCAGACAGCACAGAGGCGGCAACAGGCAATGGGTAAAAGCACCTGCCTCGGCTGCAACCTGAAGTACGAGCGGAAGCCTCCCAGGTGCAGCAGACGGGGTCAGGGACAGGCGAGGAGTGTCGCGAGGAGAGGAAACAAAAACCACACGAACGCCCAGAGGTGAGGGTGGCTTGAGAATCAGGACAGCAAATAAGAACGGCTGGAACCCCCGTGGGGCTGGGACTGTGGCAGGGAGCGTGGAGAGGCCTCTGTCCTGCACACCAGGAGGAGCCATCAGAGGCTCTCCCAGGGATCACCGCGGTCAGAGGTGCACTTTAGGAAGATGACTCAGCTGCATTGTGGAGGTGAGGCTGGAAGGAGCACAGCTCAAAGAAGGGGAAGCGCAGGAGGTCTCGCCAGGGGTGCAGGCAAGAGGAAGGGTGGCCTGGCCTCCTGAGGCAGGGGCAGTGGGGAAGGCAAGAGACGGTGGGATTCCGGAACTGTTAAGAGGCAGAGTCAGTGGGGCTTGGGGCTAGAGCAGAGGTGAAGGAGGGAGAAGAGCCAAGGAAAACACTCCTGGGGATCTGGACTGGCTGACACAGGAGGCTTGGCGGGTCGGCGGGCTGGGGAGCTAAGAGTGTCCAGCACTCCTCCCAGACCATGGAACACAGGATTCGGGGTGGCTGGCGGAATCACTGGGTTGGGATACCAAGTCCTAGGTCTCAAAGAGACCTAAGGCAGTCGGTTCCGGGCCCCAGGCTGTATACCCATCCCCCTTTATGTCACTTAGTGACCATTTTCCCTTTCTCATCCTTCCAGCAGCTTCTTCGCCAGGCACTGCATTAAGCACTGAGAATATACTGAGGACCAAGTCATGCACCTGCCTTCAGGAGGGGGTCAAGCAAACAGGAAATGCTGACACAGGGCTGAAGGGCTATGACAGGGGACACCTGGGTACTGTGGGATCACTGAGAGGGGCAGCCAGTGCAGGCTTGGGAGGCAGGGAAAGCTGCCTGAGAGGAGGAAGAGGTACCTAAAGCAAGTCCTAAAGCAAGAGAAGGCTAAGTGCAGGGGTGTGGAAGCTTCAGAGACTGAGGCCAAGGAAAGAGCCTGTGAAGTCCCAGAGATAGGAGGCAGCGGAGGCCAGAGAAGTCAAGCAACTTGCTCAAGGCCATACAGCTCATGGCAGAAGAGAGAGGAGTAGAGTTCAGTCTCCTATAAATGGTGCCATGTTTCCAAGAACCTTGCTCTAGCCTCCTCAAGCCTTACTTGTCCCCTTCCCCCAACCCCCAGCCTACACTTGGTCTAAAGGGATACACAGGTCAGGGGAACCAAGCTATTCTCCCAGGCTGGACTCATTCAGCAGAGGGCCCCGCTGCACCCACTGCCACTCCTCACCTCACCTGACTCAATCTGGCCAACATGCAGAAGCCATCTATTAGAATTATGCCCCCATAGAAAAAGCCCACAGTACCAACCAGAATCCCGCACCAACCCCGATACGGCACCCAGTCAGTCAAAACCAAACTAACTCACCTGCCCAAACCAATACACACGTTTTTTCTGGTGTTATTGACTGGACACTCCTTAAGTGGAACTGTAATCTCTTTTGGGGGCAGGCACGAGCATTATTTTTTGTTTCTTGGTACCCCATTCCCTTGTTGCTTTGCACAGCATCATTATTTTAAAAAAATACTCACCCAGCCCAGGCGCGGTGGCTCACGCCTGTAATCCCAGCACTTTGGGAGGCCGAGGCGGGTGGATCACCTGAGGTCAGGAGTTCGAGACCAGCCTGGCCAGCATGGAGAGACTCCGTCTCTACTAAAAATACAAAACTAGCTGGGTGTGGTGGTGGATGCCTGTAATCCCAGCTACTCGGGAGGCTGAGGCAGGAGAACTGCTTAAACGCGGGAGGGGGAGATTGCAGTGAGCCGAGATTGTGCCACTGCACTCCAGCCTGGGCAACAAGAGCAAAACTCCATCTCAAAACAAAACAAACAAACAAACAAAAACCTCACCCAGTGAGCTCTTGCTGTGCCCAGCACACTCTGCTGGATGCTGGGGAGGTGTCAAAATGGATAAGAGATGGTCTCTGACCTCAAGAAGCAGAGGACCCCTCATCTGGCCAAGTGGCCCCCAGATCACACTATACGTCACAGATGGATGGTTACCCAGCCCCGCCTGGGCACTCCCAGAGACAGAGAACTCCCTACCTCACAGGCAGGGCATTCCACATTTTTAACAGTTTATTTGTTAATTAAGTTAAAATCTCCGCCTCCTATAGCCTTCATACACTGGTGCCACTGTTTTTGGCTGGAATGATAGAAAATGCATCAAATCATTTTTCACATGCAGCCCTTCTATATCTAAAACTTGTTTTCCTGTCTGCGATCTCTCCACATAATCCCAGCCCATCCTCCTGCTCATCAGGAACCTCAGAGTTCTTGTTTCCTCCCTTAAATGCAGCCTCCAGCACCAAGCGCGGATCTCGAGGGTCCTGACCATCAGCGACGCGGGGCTGCCGCGGGTGCAGCACTCCCTTCTGCCGGGCAGTGTGGGCCTCCCGTGAAGTGTGAAACGGGCCCTCCCTGCTCCGGCAGCTGCTTCCCCTGCTCCTGATTGAGCTTCCAGGCACCTGAAACCCTAAGGTCTGTCTCTCAGGCTGGAGCCTGAATGTCTTATACGTTCTTATATGTGCTATGGGCTTTCCGAAGCTAGGAGCAGAATTTTAGATTTTTCCACATTTCATCTGACTTTTTTTTTTCATTAAAACCATCTTTCTGTCCTGATGAGATGTTTTTCGTTTTGTTTTGTTTTTTTGAGACAGGGTCTCGCTCTGTTACCAGGCTGGAGTGCTGTGGTGCAATCTCAGCTCACTGCAACCTCCTCCTCCTGGATTCAAGCAATTCTCCTGCCTCAGCCTCCCGAGTAACTGGGATTACAGGCGCCCTCCACCATGCCTGGCTAATGTTTGTATTTTTAGTAGAGACGGGGTTTCACCATGTCGGTCAGGCTGGTCTCAAACTCCTGACCTCGTGATCCCCCCGCCTTGGCCTCCCAAAGTGCTGGGATTACAGGTGTGAGCCACCGCGCCCGGCCCCTGATGAGGTTTTTACAAAGTCTGTGATGCTATCGCCAAGGTATCAGCTGTTCTCTTTCAGGATTATGTCATCAGCAGCCAGGTGAATGTAACTTGTGTGCCTCAATTTGCTGCCCTGTCTAATGGTCGACCTGGACAGCACTTCCACTTAACTCCCTGGGATTTTTTTTGATGGACATTTTTTGGATAATTTGGTTTGAGAACAATCCCGCCTACTACATTGTTAGTAATCCACGCATTCCTAGCATGTGCACATAGATATCTTTGGGGATTTGGTCAAACCCTTACTGATGTGCTGCCTACAGCTGGCCTGAGCCAGGACATGAGCTTGGCATCGATGCTAAGAGAGGAAGCAGGTTAGTTTGGCTTGACTCAGTCTTAGTGGAGACTAAGCTTCCTTTCTGAAGATACCTTGCCTATTGGGTTGAAGCACTGTTCTTTAGAACCTTCACATTTTGGGGCAGAAGGGGCCTTGGAAATGATTCAAAGTTAATTCCAATTTTGCAGATGATGAAATCAATGCCCAGAGGGCTTAACTGGCACTCCCAAAGCCACTGGGTTCATCAGGAGGAAGAGCAAGGATTGGATCCCACGTCTACATCTCCAAGTTCAAAGCCCTTTCTTTAACAGTATCATGCCATCACACCTTTCTCGAAGTGCACGCGCGCGCACACACACACACACACACACACACACCCCTTCCATCAAGACTCTTGTCTGCCAAGGCAAATTGAGGCATTATCTTTTTTGGGGGTTCAATGGGGGCCCCACAATTGGCCACTTTCTCTTCCTGAATGGAAGATGGAGGCCCAGGCCCCTCCATGGAATTTGTTCTCCAATAGGGGAGCTTTGGACTCCCCCAGTCTGGATGGATCTTGGGAATCCTGTCTGCTTCCAGGAGACCTTTGTCTTTGTGCCTCGTGTGTGCCTGTGGGGGCCTGGCATCGACTCCCTGGGTGGGCATGGAAACTGGACTATGGCCTCTCAGCAGCAGGTGGAGGTCGGGACTTCCCCAGAGAACAATGGGCTCCTTGCCTAGTGGTCTGTGGGGCAGGGGAGGCTTGCTGAGCACTGTTCAAGGAGCAGAGCCCCTGGACACGCTGCCCAAGGGCCTGGCATTGCGAGGGTATGAGTCCTGCCATGGTAGAAGGCAGAGGCCTGTGGCTGGTCCAGGGAAGGGCAAACTAGGTCTTTCAATGCAGGAGAACTGTGGCAAAAGAGGTGTGCCTGTAGCAGAGGGGGCCCAGCAGGGACATCCCTGGTACCCTCGACAGCCCCCAAAGACAGGGCCCCTTCACCACCCTCCCCGCCCCCCTGGGAGGCCCTGGGTACCTGTTTATTCTTTAGGTCAAGGGAGAGTTCGTAATCGGAGGCGGCAGGGGTGTGGGAGCACAGCGCGGTCGCCAGGGCAGGCTGCTGCCGGCCGGGAGAGGCCATGTGCTGGGGGCCAGCCCTTGGGGAGGCAGCCCCTGCCCCCGGCCGCTCCTCCTCCTCCTGCAGCTCCTGGGCTTGAGCCTTCGGGGCATGGGCACTGGGTCTGCCGGCTGCCACCGCCGCCGCTGCCACCACGGAGTCCTCCATGCCCCCACTGGCCTGGGTGCAGGAGCCATCACTGTGAACAAAAGGCAACGGTGCTCGGTTGGGGGAGAGGGGGACAGGGTGCATGTGGATGTGGGGGTCAGGGAGAGAAGCTAGGCACTTGGCCTGGCCTTTGCTGTGGCAAGGACTGGAGGGGATGTCTTTCAGTCTCCTCTAGGGAGGGGCTATCACGGCAGGGACGAGCCCTGGGCAAGGAGAAGAACCCGAACCTGGGGAGGCATCTCAGACAGAGGGAGGGGGCAGCTATGGCCAGGGCTCAGGAACCTCTGCTTAGAAGCAGTACAGCAGAGCAGTGCGTCTGGGCTCTGCCTCTTATTAGCTGTGTGACCCTGAGCAGGTCACTCAGCCTCTTTGCACCTGTTCCTCCATCCATAAAATGGGCACAGTAACAGTACCTACCTCACAGGGATACTGGAAGGCTGACGTTACTTACAACTCTTGAAGCTGTGCCTGGCGCATGGTGACTGCTACACGTGTTACCTATTGTAATTATCGGATCGGTGGCCTGGCTCCTTGGGCACAGGCTCAGGTGGCTGTGGAAGCTGATCCACACTAAGCTCATCTTCAGACTGACCAAGCGAGTCTGGAGGAGGGAAGGTGCCTCCAGACCTGGCTTGGGCATAAGCCTTTCCAGGGGGGTGGGCTCCAGGTGTGGGGACTGGGGCTTCCTGCTCTGCTGGGTTTAGAAAACACCTGACCCCTCCTCTGTTCCTCTGGAGCCGCAGCAGGCTGAGCCGCGGCTGCAGCCCTCCCGCCTACTCTGAGAAGACACCTTGCTGCCTGGAGCAGACACGGTCCAGCCTGCTCTGTGGAGCTGGTTCTCTCAGGCTGCTTCCTTCCCCACTAGCCTCCAAGTTCTGCCCCTCCCCTGAAGCCCAGTGCTCAGCCACCGCCTCTAGGAGGCCTTCCTGGATGACTGCAGCTTTCATTGCTCTGTCCCCTGGAACACTAGGAGCTGTCCTTAGAGAGTCACTGTCTATTTTCCAGAGGAGGAGAGTCATCGTGGTCAACAACATGGGCTCACATCCAAGCTCTACCACCGTGTGGCTTTGGGCAACTGGCTTTTCCTCTGAGTCCTGGTACCCTTGTCTGTACAATGGAGGTCCGTTCCTACCTTAGGGGGCTACGGTGAGGAAGGAAGGAGGCAGCGGAGGTCAGGTGCTTAGCACAGAGTGTGTGCTCAGTAAATAAACTCTTTTTCTTGTTGTTGTTTTTGAGATGGAGTTTTGCTCTTGTTGGCCAAGCTGGAGTGCAATGGTGAGATCTTGGCTCACCGCAACCTCCTCCTCCTCCTGGATTCAAGAGATTCTCCTGCCTCAGCCTCCCGAGTAGCTGGGATTACAGGCATGCACCACCACGCCCAGCTAATTTTTTTGTGTTTTTAGCAGAGACAAGGTTTCACCATGTGGGCCAGGTTGGTCTCGAACTCCTGACCTCAGGTGATCCACCCACCTCGGCCTCCCAAAGTGCTAGGATTACAGGCGTGAGCCACGGTGCCTGGCGCAGTAAATAAACTCTTATTTCCCCACCTATCCCTTCCTAGAAGCCAGGGCCTATGTGTTATTTGATTATGTCCCCCAGCCCCTTCATGCCGGGCAAATGCTGAGTGCTTGGTCAACACTCGTTGTTGATGGTGGATTGAGCAGAAGCCAGGGGCCGCGGGGATGGCCTCTCCAGTGGACAGTGACAGGAAGTCAGGACTGGAAGGGACCTCAAGGTCATCTAATGCAGCCTCCCACCCTCCCCACTTTTACAAATGAGGAACGGGGCCCAGGGTGGTGGGCGGCCCTGGTGCAGGAGAGCTGCAGCCTACGGACTTGTCTTCCAAGGCTTTGCCACCATGAAAGACGGGCCCAGTCACACCAGCGGAGGGACCTCTTCCCGCGGCTTCCACCGGACCTCAGGGTGCAGAGAGGGGCTCCTCTCGGTGCTTCCTCCCGGCCAAGGGTGGGGTGGAGAATCTCCCTTCTCTCAATCTCCATCTGTCCTCCCAGCACTCCCCGCACCTCTGACAGGTAAAGGAGTGCTCGCTGGCTGGCCCTGGCCATGGGAAATCTTCACTGCTGCTGCCTGTTTCTATGTCCACCATTTCTTCTGTGGCCACCAATCAAGCTGCATGGCTCAGTGTAGCTCCAGATAGCTTTTTAAAAAGTATTACTTATTTATTTTTGAGCCAGGGTCTCACTCCGTCACCCAGGCTGGACTGCAGTGGCTCAACCATGGCTCACTGCAGCCTCAACCTCCTGGGCTCAGGCGATCCTCCCACCTCAGCCTACTGAGAACCTGGGACTACAGGCACCACCATACCGGGCTAATTTTTAAAATTTTTTTGTAGAGACAGGGTCCCGTTATGTTACCCAGTCTAGTCTTGAACTCCTGGGCTCAAATGATTGTCCCGTCTCAGCCTCCCAAAGTGCTGGGATTGCAGGCATGAGCCAGCGTGCCCAACCTCTAGACATCTTTGATATGTTTTTCACTAGTGTCACTGGGAAGTTCTTTTTTTTTTTTTTTTTTTGAGACGGAGTCTCGCTCTGTCGCCCAGGCTGGAGTGCAGTGGCCGGATCTCAGCTCACTGCAAGCTCCGCCTCCCGGGTTTATGCCATTCTCCTGCCTCAGCCTCCTGAGTAGCTGGGACTACAGGCGCCCGCCACCTCGCCCGGCTAGTTTTTTTTTTTTTGTATTTTTTTAGTAGAGACGGGGTTTCACCATGTTAGCCAGGATGGTCTTGATCTCTTGACTTCGTGATCCACCCGTCTCGGTCTCCCCAAGTGCTGGGATTACAGGCTTGAGCCACCGCACCCGGCCGGGAAGTTCTTTTTAAGCTCTAACTTCAATCCCTCTTGCTGTATTACCTGCCATCTCTTCCCCAGAGCACGTGGAAAGAGCCGCTTCCCACCACAGCACAGCCTTGTCCAGGGCCGGCAGGCAGCGTACAGGTGTACTCATCTTTCCTCCAGATTGTCCTTGGCACTGATGCCCAGGATCTCTCTACCCTAAAGGGTTTTCAAGACTCTTTAGGGAACTGGTGGCTACTCAAGGGTCTAGACGCCTTTAATACCAGCCCTTGGCTTTCTTTGATTGCTGGAATGTGCTTGGCAAGAGGTGCTGGGGTGCCGACGTCCCCTGATGGCAGCACTCGGCCAATGACAATGGGGCTGCTGTGTAAATATTCCAGCTTCCCTGTCCCTTGCACGGGACAGCTCTAAGGCACACCCTATACCATCTCCCTGAGTCCCCAGTGGGATCGAGCCCCAGTGGCCCAAAGCAGTAACTTGATCATTAATGAACCCGGCCATGGCTTCATTCGCTGCTGCATTTCATTTCTCCACTCCTCTACAACCCCTTCCTGGGGTCACCTTGTCCCAAATACACTACTTGTGTTAAAACAAATTTTAAAAAATAGCCTTGTTGTGGGCCTTCGTTCACGGGCCACCCCTCTCACACACACACTCTCTCTCTCTCACATACACTCATGTACACACACACACTCCCACACACAATGCCTCCAACTAGCTCTGTGGCTTTGGGCAATTTATGTCCTCCTGCTGGGCCAGTTTCCTCATCTGTCCCACGGAGGCAGCTTGCTCTTCTCTAGGGGCCTTCCCTGCTTGGACGCTCTAGGAGCTTGAATCCCAGTGCAGACGCCGGCCCACCAAGGCCCTCTGGCCCCAAGGTTCCAGGCTCTCTGGCTGGTGGACCCAGCTCCACCTTGTCCATCTCTGTGCTCGGGGACCTGAGAGACTGGGGCCCTCTCAGGTACATGATGAAAAAGTGTTGGAAAGGGAACCCCTATCCTTGCCTTCCTTCCATAGACTTACCTATAAGACCATGTGGTGGAAGGGGGTCACAAAACCCCTGGACTGTTCTCAATGCGGCAGTGTTGAAGATTACACAGTGGAGGGCAAAGAACATACATGGCTTTGGTGTCAGGGAGACCTGGGTTAGAATCCTGGCTCTGCTATTACTGTGTGTCTTGGGCAAGTTACTCAACCTCTTTGTGGCTCTGTCTCCTCATCTGTGAAACGGACACATCCTAATAACAACTTTTCAACGTTGCTGTCAGGAAAAAAATAAAGCATACGCAGCACCTAGGACAGCGCCTGGAACACAGTGGTCCTTAATACAGGGTGACGGCGATGGTGGCTGTTTTCTGAGCCAGAATCACATGGCATGGAGTCCCAAAGGAACCCCCAGAAAAATAACATGAAGAATTCTGTAGGGGGTGGTGTTCTCAACGTTTAGCCCCCTTGTCAACCTTCACGGAACTGAAAATGTAGGGTTTTTCCACTATTCCCCATGGCCTTCCCCAGCCTCCCAGATGGACAGGCCTTCTGGAGGCTTCCTCCCACCCTGTTCCAGCCACTGGAGCAGCAAACAGTGAAAGGGCCATGACCTTGGGCGTCACCAACACATGGGACCCACGGTGTGGGGATTCCTGGGTGGGCATCTGTCAGTCTGGATCTGAGCTTTGGCGCTTTTCCAGGGCACAGCAGAGCCCTGAGTCCTTACACTCTCTCTTCGGTGGCTGAGTATCAAGAGCAGGTCCTCAGCCTCTGTTTTTCTCTTTGCATTTCATCTATAGAAAGGCTGGGATAGAGGTTGGAATCTTCACCTTGGGCTATTTAACTTGAAGGCCATCTACTTCAATCCAGCCTCTTACGGAACTGGAAGCCCATTGCTCTGGCTCCCAGAACACCTCTCCTCTCCTTCCAAGACACAGGCTGTGTCTCTCCGGCTTCCACAGTCTGCAGCTGCCCTCGCTAGTGGGCAGATTTCGGGCAGCCTGGCCCTTCGACAGGAATTACGTGGATGGGATTCTCTCTGGGACCTGAACATCTTCTTCTAAGGCCTTTCCCAGAGCACTGGAGGGGGATCCTGGGGCTCTCCACTCTCTTAGGCTCCTCATCCTGCTGCAGAAACATTCCTTGAGTGGCAGTGCACTAGCCGGGAGAAAATGTGAGGTCACTGCTGGTCTATGAGTGACGCTGGTCACAGGATCACTCCCTGGGTTGG